GCTTAAAGTATCGCAATATATTGGGATATATCATATCGTGACCCCTTTGTTATGATATGTATCGCCAAATTCTTGCCAATACACAGCCCTTGTAGATGCGCATGTGCGCTGTATCAAGTCTCCTGTCAAAAGTTCTGAACCGGACCGGACCACACTTCCTCACCCCTGCTTGTTTCCCCGTCACTCTGGGCTCTGGTCTGTGTGTTTGAAGTGTGCCAACTCAACTCAGGTGGGAGCGACAACCAGGAAATGGGGGAATGGTAGGGACAAACCCACTACTCCTTGTGTTCTGCTTCAACAGGAGCAGAGAAAGAAAGACAAGCCCAAAATAAGCAACTCACATTCAAAAATAAGCCCAATAAAACCACAACCCACGATTCACGGAATTTATAAGCGACTTTAGAAGAAAAAAAGTCCAAAGTAGCTTATAATAAGCGGAACTGGCAACACTGTGGCCAAAACAAATATGAGAAAAAATAACTTTGTTCAACAAACACATTTCTGCACAACTAGTTATAGCACAAGTCATACTAGTCCAAATTAGTAGCGAACCAAACCAGCAGTGGTCTGCTAACAGCTCAAAGCAAAGCTAACTTTTTATTTTGCTGGGTTGCAGTCACATGACCCAGATGACACATGAATGTCAGCTGGAGGGCAGGAAGTGATTTGCTCTGGTTCAAAACACGGCGAAATGGATCACAGCGAGTACGCTAATGCCCTAAATGAGCTGGCACAAACAAGATATCGCAAAAAATATGCGTACACTTAGGATATGATTCATATTATCTTCATAAAAAAAACTTGTTAAATAATCTGGAGGATTCACCCGATGTTGAGGTGATCAACATAAACTACTATCTGGTGCTGCAGACCTCATGTTGTAGGCTACGACGAGCCAGATGAAAGCTTTCAAAAGCCTCAAAGCTACAATTATTTTGTTTCAGGTTGGGTCAAACATTTAGGRTCCAAAGAAACTTTAAATGGCTGTTGATTTGTTTCTGCCTGGGTGAGTTGTGCTAGTTTAGGTTTAGCTTGGGGAAAGTGACAAATAATACTTGTTCCATATAGGGATGATGGCTGTATCCTGAGTCACTGTTACAAGTAATGTAGCACAATGTTTTGTGGTCCTTCTGGTGGAGTTTAATGCTGTTTTCATGAATTTAAGTTTAAAACGCTAAACATGCGTCGCTGCATTGAAATCAATGGAGCGGCCACG